GACCCGTCCCCCATGCCCGTGCCCCACTTCGCTCCCGCGCCTTGGCAGCTGCCACCGCCATTGCATTTGCCCCTAGAGTTTGGTCTGGGGCTGGTTGTGACGGCGCCTGAGCACCCTTTCCCAGATGTGGCGTCTCTGGGTGGGAGGGCCCCAGCCGGGCCTCCTCCTCCCTCCCCTCCTCCCTCTGCCCTCAGAACCTGACACCCCGCTTCGCTGGCCTCACCCCTTCCTGCCCCACCTGAGTCCCCGGGTCACCTCCCCTCTGCTGGGCAACCCTTGGGGATGAGCCCCAGGTGGAGGCCGGGCCGCCCCGTCCAGCCCTCCCGCTCCCTCGTGCTGCCCAGCGCGCCCTCCGCTCCAGGCTGCAGCCCGGAGGACGTGCTTGTCACGAACAGGGGCCAGGACGTGGCACAGTGAAGCAAGGGCCCTTCATTGGAAAGCACGGGGCCGTCCTCACGTAGGACTTTGTGCGAAGCCTGAGGGGACGTGTTGCGCGGTCGTGCGTGTGTGAAGATGCACTTTATCCCGATTGGAGGGACTCTCTGGTTGGGAAATCTGGGGAAATTGCAAAAATCCAGGAGAACTTTGTGTCAATTGGTGTGTTTAGACTCTCAAGACACAGCCGGCACCACGTGGTCCCTGATAAGGAGGTGCCACCTGGGGGAGTCCCCCGGGCTGGGCGGGGGGGGGGGCGCTTTAGGAAACCCAAGATCAAGGAGGCGCGGGTGGAAGGAGCCTTGCCCCAGGGTCTGGGGGGCCTCATCCTCGCTGCCGTCAACCCGTCAACCTCCCGCGACCTTGGGCCACTCTGTCCTTTGCATCTGCTTCCTCCCTCGTCAGCTGACCGAGCGCAGGGACAGGACAGTACCTCTCGTCCAGGGGCTGCTTAGAAATGCCGGGCGGGGGGTGGGTGTCGCGTGGTCACAACTCCTGGGAGATGCTGCGGGCCCTCGGCAGCGAGGCCGGGGCGATAACACCCTGGGCGCGTGGCCACCCGCGGCCGCCGCGCTGACCCCCCCGCACCGTGGAACACGGGATAAGCTCTCCGGGTGCTTTCCACCCTGAACTCAGTTCTGCACAAGCGCCTCGAGTCTCGCATTCACCCCCCCCCCCATTTCTGCCCCAGGAAGCCAGGCTGCTTTACCCTTGGCCCCTCCTGAGCCACCAGGCCCTGACCACGCTGCTGCCCTGCAAGGAAGCGGCTGCAGAGCACCCACGGCCCCAGCAGGTGCCTGAGGGATCCGGGGAGGGCCACGCTCGACCCTCCCCGGAGGAGCAAGGGCTGTGAGCTGCGGGGAGAGGAGCTGGGGCAGGCTGGTCACCCACCGGTCTCTGCCTGTGATGCGTTCACTTGGGCGTTTCTTGCACGCCCCTGTTTGCCGGGCGTCCAGCGGGATTGGAGGACACAGCCAGGCTGCCACGGTTAAGGCCCTGCCCTGAGGCTCGTCGTCGTCTGGGCGTTTCGTCCTAGTCCTCCTGATCCAGCTAGGGGAGTCCCTATTAGTGGGACTTTATCAGGCCCCGCGCTGGTTTTACAGCTGGTAACTCGTGTCATTGTCACCACGGCTGGTGTGAGGGGAGCCCCTTCCTACCCCGAGTGTACAGATGGGAAAACGAGGCTTGGGGAGGCCGAGCGGCATGAGCAGGACCGGGTGCTGGGGCGATGATGAGGTGGTGCGGCGCCAGGTAGCGGCTGCAGCTCGGTCATCGTCACGGAGGGAGCGTGCGCAGGGGCTGGGCAGGGTGGCCCCGCGGCGTGGCCATGCCCAGGGACGGGGGCTCACCTCCTGGCCACCGGGATGGGCGAGCTCAGCCCACGGTGGAGACGGTGCCCGAGGGGCTCTGCTTCCGGGGCTGCTTCTCCAGCGGGGCGGGTGGGGGGACAGTGCCAGGCCTGCCCCAGCAGAGCCCCGGCCGTCCGCTCTCCTGGTGTCTCCCCCACCCCGAAAGAGGCAAACAGAGCAGATGCAGCAGCGCCCTTGGGCGTCGGCCAGAGTGCCGGGGACGGGGTCCCCTCTCGCCCCACCCCCTCCAGTTTCAGGTCCTACCTCTGGCTGCCCCCCCACTTCCCTGGCATCCTCCCGGTTATCAAACCCGGCTCCTTGTCTCCATGGTGACACTGCCTCACCCAGCTTCCTTGGGTGGTCCGGTTGCCTCACAGGGTAAAGCTCTGAGAACATTTTCCTAACGTGTGGCCAGAAACTTCCCTTCCTGCGCCCAGGGCTGCCCAGCCGTCCTCTCCCCGCCCCGCGTCCTGCCAGCCTCGCCCGCTGACCACCCCCCCCCGCCCCGCTGTGTCCGGCTGAAAGAGCACACAGCCCTGTGGAGACGGCAAGGACATCCGACGGCCCTGCCACCCTCGTCCCCCTCCCGCGCAGTCCAGGGGGCAAGCGACTTGCAGGGCTCGGTGCAGAACGAAAGTGCGGGGCCGCGTGTTCAGAGTGTGCGGAGGGTGTCAGCGCGACGACGGCAGAGACGGGAGCGAAGCCGGGTGCTTCTGGGTGTGGGTGCGTGTGAGCTGCACGGGGCAGGTCGCGTGCCCAGGAACCGGGCCTGAGAGCGGCAGCGCGGACGTGCGTGCGGGTGTGCACACGCGTGTGTTCACAGTGGCCCCGGGTCAGGCATCGGGCGTCTGATTCGGCCGCCAGCTGGACCCCAGGGAGCGTCGCTGAGCCACCGGGCCCCTTCCTGGGGTAGGGAGCCAGACGGGGCAGGAGCCTGAGCCCAGAGAAGGACCTGGCTCCCCGACGGTCACACAGCCTAAAAGGGTTTTCCAGCCCCGGGAGCGAGGCCTGGGCAAGGCTGATTGTTTCCCCCAAGGAGGACTCGTATGACTTAGCACCGCACGCGGCCCTGTCCTCGCCGACACACGCGGGCCCAGCACCCCCGAGGCAAGCACATCCCGGAGCTCGTGTGCCCTGCGTGCGGCGCTCCGCTGCCCTGTGGGTACCTGCGGGTCCTCACCGCCAAGCCCAGGCCCCGGGGGGCCCCGCCCCAGCACCGCCGCTTCACAGCACAGCCCCTGTGTTCGGGGCACCCGTGTGCCCCCCCAAGCCGGGAGGGATCAGCTGGGGATCCAGCTCCGAGGCCCGCCCCGCACCTCCCTCTCTTGGCCTCCCTTCCTCTTCCTCTCCCTTTCCCGGGCGCCAGCCTCGCCCCTCGCCTGAGCCACGGGGAGAGCCACCCTCCCTGCCCCCTCCCCGGGCCCTGCGGCTGGATGTGGGGCAGGCTGGGGGGTCCAGAGCCCTCCTCCCCAGGGGAGAACAATGAGGCCACTCGTCAGGGTGGGGGGCGGGGCGTGGAGCCACATCAGAGCCTCCGAGTCGCGGCCCCCGGGGGGACAGCTGAGTGATGAGGCCTGGGTCACGTGCCCCGCGTGCTCCTTGAACTCCCGCTCCCGCTCCTGTGGAGACACGTCCAGAAATGCACGGGGCAAACGCTTAGAGGTAATCGGCTGTGGGGCGCCTCGTGCTCCCCGCCGGGCTGAGCTGGGCCGGGCCCAGGCTCGGGGCCCAGGCCTCCTTGCCCCGCCGCCCGGCCGCACCCCTGCCCGTGGAGTCCAGACGTGCCCGAGGGCCACACGCTGACGGAACCGAGCAGCCCTCGGGGTCCTGCCCCCCGAAGGCGGCGCCAGCAGCCCGCCGGCCTCCAGCCCACGCGGAGCAGGCGGGAGCTGTGGACGCCAGCAGCCCTGCCCTCGACCGATGCCTTCCTTCTTCGGGGCACGTGCGTCGGAGCCGAAGCGTCAGGGGACACAGAGCACGGAGACGAGCAGTCCTTGCAGACCGGCCCGGCCCGGCCTCCCTCGGCTCCCCGGCCTCCGGAGCCTCCGCGGCGCGCACTCGGGCCTCGGGGGAAACAGGTCAACGCGGCCCGGGGGTGCCCACCATCCGGCGGCCGGTTGTGCTCGCCTCCGCACCCCACGGGCGGGGTGGGCCGGGCTGACAAGAGTCAGAAATAGCGTGGACCCCAAACATCGGCCGCACCCGTCCCCGAGGTGCCGCCGCTCACCCAGGCGCGGGCTAAGGGGCGGCTGACGCCCGGGAGGTCTCCCTCGGTCCCCGCGGCCCTCGCGTCGCCGCCGGGCATGTCCTGTCCAACGGGCGGCCCGTCGGCGCTGGCTCGCTTGTGAGGACCCGTTTCCGGATGAGGAAACCGAGGGCCACGGGGGCCAGAGCCCAAGCGCTGGTGGGTGGGGAGACGCAGCTGGCCTCGGGCCTGTGATCTCAAGACGCTTTGTTTTCTTGTCGGTGAAGCGTGAAGCGCAGATAACAATGGAATCTACCTGGGGGGGGGGGCTGCTGCCGAGAGGATTACTTGGAATTATGTGGTTAAAGGTCACCAGTGCGGACGCGGGAGCCGTCGCTGGGGGTCACTCTGTGTCAAGGCATCTCTGGAGGACCGGTGACCCCGAAGCCACCCACCGGTCCCTCCCATGACGTGGGAAGGCTGGATCGATGCAAGCCGGGGACCCAGGGAGGGCCCAGGGGCTGCGACAGGAGGCTGGGCGGCTGTGGGGGCGTGCCCGGGGGTCCCCTGGTCGGGGGCTTGGGAGGAAGGCCAACAGGAAGGGGCAGGGAGTCCCCCTGGTTCTGGGATGGAACAAAGGACGATGCCCCAACGCCGTTGCGGGGATGAGACAGCAGTGCGTGACTGTCGTGTGAACCGCCACGGCCACAGCCGCGACCTCCGGGCTCCAGCCTCCCCTTTGACCCCCCCTTCTCTCGGAAACTCCACGAACGGTTCCCTAGCTTCTCCCTTGGGGGGGTGGCTCCCGCACAGCCCCTCCCGGGGGTGCCTGGCACCGGAAGGGCCACAGCCGAGGGCAGAGCCGGAGGCCGCGGAGGGTGGTGTCGGGACCGGCCCCCCGCCCCGTGCTCCCCCCCAGGGAAGGCACCTGCTCGGCCAGGCTGGCTCTGGGGCCCGACGGCGCGGCGTCCGCGTGTGCCGGGGCCCGGACAGGGCGGCTCACGGCCCCGTCCCGTTTTGTCTCCACGCAGGGACCTGAGCATGAACAACCTCACGGAGCTGCAGCCCGGCCTCTTCCACCACCTGCGCTTCCTGGAGGAGCTGTGAGTAGAGGCCTCCGCGGCCTGGGGCAGGGCTTCGGGACCCTGGCAGCTGTGGGCGCCTGGGCTCCCCGAGGAGGGCGGCGGCTCAGAGGAGGGGGCCCCCGGGCTGATCCAGAAAGCGGGGAACTCAGCGGCCCCCGGGGCAGCTCCGAGTCCCAGGCCGGGTGGGACCACGTGGTCCAGGGCTCTGAAACCCGGCCCGTGTCCTCGAGGCCAGCGCCTGCTTGCAGCTTCCCCTGCCGCTTGCTGCTCTCCCCGGGGTCATCTTGGACCTGCTCCCTGGTGTCAGCGACCAGCCTCCCCCAAGTCCCGCTGGCTCTTCTCCGCGGTGCCCGTCACCTCCACCCCGGCCTCTACTCCCAGGCTGCGGCCCCAGGGTTCACGCACAGCTGCAGGCGGCTCCCGCCTCCCGACTGACCCCCCCCCCCCGCCCAGCCTCCTTTCACATGTACCCTGCCCGTCTTCGGGGGCAGCTCGCCAGCTCAGGGACCTTCTCTGGCTCCCCAGCGGCCGAGGGGGGTCCACTCCTAAGGCCCTCCCCCAGCCTGGCCTGGACCCACCTGGCCGGCTTTGCTCTACGGAGGCCAGTCGTGTTCACTGTCCTGGCAGGAGACGTCCCCTCAACCTGTGCCCACCGTCTCGGCCACAAGCCGTCCCCGGTCACTGCCAAACACGAGGCCGCGTCCTCCCCCAAGTCCTCCGGGTCCCAGGCCTTCCCACGGCTGCTGCCCTGCCTCAGCCTCCAGGGGAGCTCGGGGAATAAATCCTCTCTTGGGTTCAAGCGCCCGGTCTCCCTGCCCGGGGAGGCCAGGTCTCTGTGCGCCCAGTCTTCGCGTTCCTCCCTCGCTGGTCCTAACCCCCAGCCCCTTGCCCCCTGTCCCCAGCCTGCTCGGACCTGGTTTGGCAGCACCGCCAACCCTCAGGGCTCCCCTGAGGTTCGCCTAAACTGCAAAGCCTGGGCTCCTGGCTGGAAAAACATTCGTAACTGCGCCCCTCCCGACTCGGCTGCTGTCCTGCCAGCGCCCTGGACCGTGTCCCCCCCCCCCCCCCCCCCCCCGCCCCAGAGCGCAGTCGGCCCGCCCCTGCTGGAGTCGGGATGCCATCAGCCCGGGGCCCTGGCCAGGCCGTCGGGGTCACACGCTTACTGAGCTCCCCCGTGGTCAGAGACGAGCTCCGGGCGCTCTGGGGGAAGCACGATGGGGACCCGCCTGCTGCCCTCAGGGACGCGCGGGTGAGGCACCCCGCTGTGCTCGGCAGGGGGGCAGGTGCGCGGGCGGCTCTAGGCGGCCCCGCGGGTGGGTGAGGGACGGGGCCAGGGCGGCCTCTCGCCCTGCGCGGGGGAGCTTTCCGGGGGAGGACCACTAAGCCCGCTCCCCGAGGCAGAGACAGCAGGGGCCCGCGAACAGGAGCCGCGTCGTGGGGGGACTGGAAAGTGGGTGTGAAGGCGGAGGGAGCGCGCGACGCCCGGGCTCGGTCTGCCAGCCACAGGCTCACCTTCGTCCTCGCAGCCCCGGGAGGAGCTTGGGCCCCTCTAGAGGTCCCACCCGAGAGACCGTGGGCCCGTCCCGTGGCCGGCGCCCACCTGCAGAGCCCGGCTGGGGGGCCTCGCATCTCGTGATGCCTTCCCCGCACGTTGTGCTTTTCAAAAAAAAAAACAACAAATATCAAATAACAAGATTCTTATTAAAAAAGGAAAACGACAGCTTGTGAGGAATGTCAGCGCAGCGTCCGCACGCACAGCCCCTCGGGGGCACCCGTTGAGCCCGGGGCCTCCCGCACCCACCGCACCCTGCGCGCTCCGCACACCCCACCCGCTTTGGGCGTCGAGCATATCCCGTCGCACTTGCTCCCTTTAGGGCTGGCGGTGACCCCACGACAAACAGGGAGACGCTTCGTTAGGCCCGAATGTTGGGCTCATTCTAAACCGCCCCTTCCCTAAGGCTCCTGGCCGCGCGGTTCAGGGCACAGGAGGACCCCCCCCCCCCCCGCATCTTACCTGGGCCCTCTGCTGACCCGATGCAGGTGAGGGCGGCGGGAGGCATCCGGGTGAGGACAGGAGCCCAGAAGTGAATCAAGTCTGGGTGACAACTGCGTGCTGGGCCACGGCCTGCCTCTGTCACCCTCGGGGGAAAGTGTCGTGACCCCCTGTCCATGCCTCAGATTGCTCCTATGACATCTAGGGACAAGCTCTCCACCCGACCTCCCGGGGTGTTGTGGGAGCCGAGTGACCTTGGGCGTGAAGCATCCACCACGTTGTCCACCTCCGTAAATGGTAGTCAGCACCCCGTGCCCCGTCCCAGGCCCCTGGGCGCCGGGCGAGCGAGGCCTGGCCCCGTTTGGGTTCCCGGCCCTCCTCACAGTTGCCCCGTTTGCAGGCGCCTGTCGGGGAACCATCTCTCGCACATCCCGGGACACGCGTTCTCTGGCCTCTACAGCCTGAAAATCCTGTAAGTATAAGCCGTCCCCATTTTCCCAGGGGTGCGCCCCGGGGCCCCGTGGGCAGGTTCAAGATCCGTAACCGGGTCCTGGTGGGTCACTGGCTCTGCTTACTTCCTCTTTACTTCCCATCCTAATCCTGATTTCTGTTTCTTTGTCTTCACCTTTTCTTTTCCCCTTCTTTTATTTTTTTTTTTTTTTAAGATTTTATTTATTTATTCATGAGAGACACAGGCAGAGGGAGAAGCAGGCTCCCTGCGGGGAGCCCGATGCGGGACTCGATCCAGGGACCCCGGGGTCATGCCCTGAGCCAAAGGCAGATGCTCCACCCCTGAGCCTGGGGGGGGGGGCAGTCTTCACCTTTTCTATCACAGACCCTCTGATTGTTAATCAGTCTGTTGGCTTGATAGTCATGGCGAACCCTCCAGGGAACTCAAGTATCTAAATATCTCCTTTTTTTTTTTTTTGGTGATGTGAATAGTGGCCAGCGAGGCGGGTCCTTGCTGTCCGAGCCCCAGGCTGGAGGCGGAGGAATCAGGGTTTCCTTGCCTCTCTCCCTGCTGAAACCCAACCTGGTCTCGCGGCCCGGGCTGGGAGTCCCCGGCTCGGAGTCCCCAGCTCTGAGTCCCCGGCTCGGAGTCCCGTTCCCACGGAGTCTCTCCGTTCCCAGGCTTCCTCATCCTAGTTCCCTTCATCTTTCCCTTAAAGCAGACGGAAAGCGAGGGTTGCAGAGGACCTTGTGTCAGTTCGGTGACTTTCCCCCTTTTTCTGTCGGGCTGATGGCCCATCTCAGAGAAGGAGCAGCCGAGGCACATCCCCTCCCCGCCAGGTGCTCACGTTGTCCCAGCCACGGCCGTCTGTCTCCCCCAAGGCCCCCCTCATGTTATGAGGCGTGAGGACGGAGGGCCGCGGGGAGGAAGTGGATGCACAGGGTCCGAGGGTGGGGGGAGAGGTTCCTGGGGAGGGTACGTCACCACACAGACTGGTTTGGGAAGAAAATGGGGATCCTGAAGGCTGATCCTGGAGCAAGACAGTGAGCACTTGGTGAGCCATTGCCCAGCCCTGCGGCTCCCTCAGTCCTCACTTGACCTGCGGGTCTCCTCTGTCTGGTGGAGCAGGGTGTTCACTGCACAAGAGCATCTGGCTGAGGGGCTGAGAAGGGACCGGAATCCCGTCCTGTGCCCGGCTTGGGGCTACCTCCACCTGGAAGGGACAGTCTTTGTCGAAGGTGCTCAGAGCTGCTCAAGGCAGGCATGGCCCTGGCCCCTCGGGCTGCCAGCTGGTCAGCACCTGGTGCACAGCTCAGCGCTTCCTTTTCATGCTGCTGGTCTTGGACCCCTCTGGTCTCTAGCTCTGGTCTCTGCCCACAGGCCATCCTGGTGTCTTGTGCCCCTGCCCCAGCCCGTGCAGTGCCCTTGGGTCCCACCGCGTCTCTCCCAGCCCTCCCTGGGCTGGCTTCTCTGTGTCAGCCCCGGCTCCCCTCCCTCTGCCCCTCTGTGCCCCCCTTCTTCCTGCTTCTCCTCGTGGGCTGCCTCCATCCCGTCCGCATCGCTGCCCCGGGGTGTGGGGAGGCATCCCGAGCCAGACGCTCAGCGCAGGCAGCCTGCCTGGTGGCGTGTCTGTGCCCAGTGGCAGGCTCAGGCCTGCAGCCGGATTAGAGCGCGGGCTCTGTTTGCTGGGCCTTCAGAAGATGTGAGGCTCCCGGCCCGTTCCTAAGGCTCCGGCTTAGAGAGGAGCCTCCTCTTTCTTCTCTGCCTGCATTAGGCAATAAATCAAAGCCTCCGAGAAACCGCAAGCCTCCCGCCCCCTTTCTGCCAACGGCGCCCATGGCCGGGGGAGCTGGGCGGCCAGGAGAGGCCGCTGGCTGGGGGCCAAGGCCGCCGGACCCCCACGCTGCTGCTCGAAGACCCCTGGCCTCCCGTGGCCTTGGCCTCCGTGCTCTGCCCGCGGAGGTCCCCCCTGAGAGATGCCCCGGGTGCCCCGGGAGCCTGTTCTCCTGCTCGGGCGGGCGCTGCAGGGCTCCAGAGCGGGCTTGTCCTGCCCCTGGGCAACCAGGCCAGCTCCTGCCTCCCGTCCTTCCCTTGCTCAGGGCTCAGAACTGCAAGGGAACCGGAGCCTCAGAGCCCAGCATCCGCAGGCCTCTCTGTCTGAACCAGGACTCTGTCCCTTTCCTGTTGCCCTGACTTCATCGGGGCCGGGACTCTTTTTTTTTTTAAGATTTTATTCATTGATTCATGAGAGACAGAGAGAAAGACACAGAGATAGAGAGAGACAGAGACAGAGACACAGGCAGAGGGAGGAGCAGGACTCGATCCCGGGACCCAGGGTCACGCCTGGAGCCAGAGGCAGCCGTTGAGACCCCCAGGCGCCCTCGGGGTCTGACTCTTCTGAACTATATTTTCCTTTCTCTGAGGCCAACGCTCTGCCTCTTTCGTCTCGGAAGCAAAGGACATAAGAAGGGGGGTTCGTTCCCTGTCCGACCGGCTCCAGGTGCCGGCGGGCCCTCCCTGTGCCCCCAGCGCTGCCCCCGCCCCACCTGGGCCTTCCCTCCTCCACCAATTCTTGGAGCCCACAGGCCCCGCCGGGCGCCTCTGCAGCAGCCAGCCCCGCCTTTTCTCCAGACCCTACAGGAGGGATTGTCCGTCCCCCGGAGTCAGGGAGCCCGAGACCCCTGCCCCTGCCCCTGCCCGGCTCTGCGTCGGGACTGTCCCGAGGGAAGCACAGGGCTGGCCGCTGGCCTGTGGGAAACAGCCTGCCCCTCCGGGGCGCCTGCCCTGCGGCCCCATCAGGCTGAGGGGCCAGCCCTGTGACGGCGAGGGGCCCGCGGAGGCCGGAGCTCCTGCATCCTGACCCCCAGCCTGAGCGTGGAGCCGGCCTGGGAGACAGAGGAGGGAGAGGGAGGAGAGAGGATGTGCGTGCCCCCACTGCCTCTCCCCTCCCAGGCCTCCTCCCCACGGCTGCCTCCCCCCAGGAGCTGCGTGAGGCTTGACCTCCCTGCCTTGCCCGCCAGGCCCACCGCCTCACTGTGTCAGGTGGCTCTGGCCCGTCCAGAAGGCCTCCCGTCGGGCCCAAGTGGCTCTCCTGAGACCCAGACCCGGGAAACAGGGATCGGCAGCCCGAGGACGGGCTCTCCCCCCGTGGCCCCCAGAGGCTGGGCACCACATCGTCCCCAGCGACCTAGTCCTGGGTTGAGCCTGTGGTTTGGGGTTCCTGGTCCTGCCGCCTCGGTGGAGCCCGGCCTGCAAAGGACAGCCGCTGCCTGGGGAGCTGCAGCCGAAGGCCCGGGGTCCCAGGAGACCGCCCTGGCTGGCCGCCCCGCTGCCCCCCTCCAGGCTGTAGTGGGCCGTCGGGGGCTACCGTCGCCCCGTCCACTCCCCATCAGCCCGGCCCAGGGTCGGGCTCCCTCGGGTGCCGATGACATGACCTGGACTGACCTGTGAGCTGTGCATGGCAGGCTGGCCGCTGGGAGAAGGCCCGGGGGCCCTGGGAGCCCAGGGAGCTCCTCGAGCCCTGCTGCCCCAGGAGGGGGACACTACCGCCCTCGTCCCGTCGAAACGCGGATGTCAGGGTCTCAGGTGAGGCAGATCCCAGAACGGGTGTCAAGGACGACACGCAGACGCCTCAGTCTTCTTACCTTTAAAACGGGGACGTTGGATACGTTTCCCGACGCTGCCAGCTGCAGAGCCTTAAAACACAAACGCCTGGGGCAGAAGTCCTGATGTGTAACTGCAGGGAGGGCGTCTCCACTTAGGGCGGACGAGGGGTGGGTGGACCCCAGGCTCTGTCTTGCCCACCCACCCCAGGGACCCCGAGGCCCCTCCGCAGAACCAAAGCAAGGGTCTTTGTCAACCGCCGGTGGATGGCCTCTTGGGAACTCATGGTTCCTGCCCCCAGTGCCTCTCAAGCCACAGGGAGCACCCACCCCCAGGGCTTCACAGGTGACCAAGGGAGGAGTCCCGAGGGCTCGGCTTCCCCTAGACTGAGGGCCTCGCAAAACCTACGCCCTGACATCCCTCGCCCAGAGGTTGGGCCCCGGGCCGTCATCGGGCTGCGGTGTAACCTGGACATGGGGATTGGAAAAAATCCTCCCAGGTGGTTCTAATGTGTAGCCAGGGTTGAGACCCGGTGCGTCGGAGAGTCCGGCTCGCCAGGCGGATCAGGGCCAGCGAGCGAAGCAGGGCAATGTGGTCACAAAAGCAGTGGCCCGGGAGGCAGGACTTGGGCCTTAGGCCTGCTGCTGCCATTAGGCTGCTTTGTGACTGGGGCAGGTCGCTTCCCCTTCTGAGCCCCCCCCTTTGTCTCCTCATTTGGAAAACAAAGAGGCTCTCCCCTTGTAAAAGGTACTTCCGGCTTTGATGACCCAGTTGTGTTGCCCCAGAGGAGTGAAGACTGGGAAATGAGGACGGGGACAGCCAGGGAGACAGCCCCGGGCCCAAAGCCAACCGCCGCCGCCGACCTCCGGCTTAGTGGGTTGGGATTCCACGGAAGCCAGGGCTTTCTGGACAAACAGACCGACTGCCTGGCGCGGGATGAGTTGCCTGGGGAGGTACCGACTTCCCCAGATGATGTGCCCTCAAGTGCTGCAGCCTCTGTTGGGAGGGAGGCAGGATTCGGAGACCGTAAAGATCTTTCTAGATTTGGGATGTGACAGAGGAAAGGACAGGAGGGTCTGAGCAGGTGAGGGGGGTGGAGACGCGTTGGGGTGCCCAGGGGAGGCCGGTTCTGCGTGGGGTTGGCCAGATGCGCCTCAGGGGCCCCAGGAGGGTGTGGGGGGGCTGTGAGGTGCCTGAACAGCCTGCGGCCCTTCCTGTTTGCCCAACCGGGATTTCTCCATCTCCTGGCTCTGAGCATCCTGGGGCCTCTGGGGGATGGAGTCAGGGCGGCTCCCTGAGATCCCCCGGTGAGGTTGCCACTCAGCAGTTGCAAGGGGTTGACGCGTCTGGAAGGACAGGAGTACTAAGCAGGGCGGACGGCAGGACGGGTCCCGGGCCGGGCCCCTGAATATTGTAGCTGAGTGAGGGTCTACGCGTCATCTGGCAGCTTCTTCCTTTGAGAGATGAGACAACCGGGCCGAGAGGGGAAGCGGTGAAACCACATGGAGGAGCAACGGCTGACGCGCCGCTGAGCGCTTCCTCGGCCTGAGATGCTGCGCCGCTGCGGCGCGGGCGTTCTTCGATTGAATCCATTTAATCGGCGCCTCAGGTCATTATCCTCATCCCCAGTTTACAGGTGAGGACACTGAGGCCCACAGGAGTTAAGTAGACGTCACGGCCATGAGGCAGCTGAACAGAGGCAGAGCCCCGGCCCCAAATCCGGGGCTACTTCAGATCCTGCAGTGTGATGGCTACGCTTTGAGGAAGGCTGGACAGGTTTAAATTCTACCTTTTTTAATTTATTTTTTTTAAGATTTTACTTATTTATTCGTGAGAGACACAGAGAGAGGCAGAGACCCAGGCAGAGGGAGAAGCAGGCTCCTTGCAGGGAGCCTGATGCGGGACTCGATCCCGGGACCCCGGGTCACTCCCTGAGCCTGAGGCAGACGCTCAACTGCTGAGCCACCCGGGCATCCCAACTTCTACCTTTTTTAATTAAATCAAATTAAGATTTTATTTATTTATTCATGAGACACACAGAGAGAGGCAGAGACACAGGCAGAGGGAGAAGCAGCCTCCATGCAGGGAGCCCGATGCAGGACTCGATCCCGGGATCCTGGGGTCATGACCTGCTCAACCTCTGAGCCACTTGGGCCTCCCAAATTCTACCTTTTTTAAAAGGTTGAGTTTTTTAAAAAGGTTTTTATTTATTTACTTATTTGAGTGACACAGTGAGAGAGAGAGACACAGAGCGCATGGGCAGGGTGGGGGCACGGGGAGGAGCAGGCTCCTGCTGAGCAGGGAGCCGGATGCGGAAGTCGTCCCGGATCCCCGGGATCATGACCTGAGCTGAAGGCAGACGCTTCAGCGACTGAGCCCCCCATGTGCCCTTTAAGGTTGACTTTTAATTAATTAGTTAATTATTTGGGGAGGGGAGGGGGCGCCCAGTGCGGAGCGCGACGTAGGACTAGAGCTTACAACCCTGAGATCACCGCCTGAGCCGAAATCAGGTTGGGTGCGTGACCGACTGAGCCCCCCGGCGCCCCCGACTTCCACCTCTGCAGCACGACTGTCCTCGCAGGGGCCGCTCCTGGGACCACCGAGCCTGGCCCCCTTGGCTCACCTGGCCTCGGGCAGGGCCCGGGGCAGGGCAGGCCGGACCCCAGCCCCAGGCTTCTCCGCCGTAGTGGGGGGCTGGCTCCCCAGCTTTGCCGGCACCAGGGCTCTGCTCATCTCCAGGCCGGGCCCACGGCGACGCCAGCGTCCTTCCGTTCGTGGGCTTGTGGTTCGGTCCACGTCTGGGATTCTTGCGCATCTTGAGCTCAGGACGGGGCAGGTGTGGCCTGAGCGGGACAGTCACAGGGCGCCGTCTCCCTCCGCCTGGTCGAGGTGGGCCCCTCAGTGCCCCCGTCTTTCAACCTGAAGACGGGGAACGAGCTCCTCTTCCTAGAGCCCGGGGTCTCCGACCGTCCGGAGCCCCACGCGGAGCTCAGCCGAGCTCACCCCTCCCGAGGGCGTAGGGCGTAGGGTGTAGGGTCGGGGGAGGGCCCGCTCCCTCTGCCCCGGCGGGCGGCTGCCCTCCTCCCCCCATCCCGGGCCCAGCTCTCCAGGCCCGCAGGTGAGAGGGGCAGACGGCGATGCCCCCGGGGCCCGGGGACGGGCCGATTCCAGCCGAGCAGCCTGCCGAGGGGACCCCGCTCTCTGGCTGGCGTGTCCCCCCTCCTGCCCCCCGCCTGGGCCGTGTGAGGCTGGGCCGTCGGGATGGTGCTGACATGCCGACCTGGGTGTCTCCAGCTATTCCTGCGGACTTGGGCTCCACACCAACATACTTGCCCGGGGCCCTGCCTCCGGGGGGTCTTGCCCCGTCCACATCCTCCCCTCCCCAGAGATGCCCCCTCTTTGCATCGCACCGACAGGGAAACAGGCCTGGGGAGACCAAAGCCGCCGCCCAGGCCCTTTCTGACCAAACTGTGACAGAATGGCTGGCGCTCTGACCTCCGGGGGCTCGGGCTCCCCGCGGCGTCTCCTCCGCTTCCTCCCCGGCCCCCCACAGGCCTGCCTTGCCCCCTGCAGCCCTGCCCAGCCCATCTGACCCCAGGGCCCCCCCCCAGCTAATGGGCGGGTGGGTGCAGGGGGCTCTGACTAATGGGTGGGTGCAGGGGACCCCCGCTAACGGGCAAGTGCAGGGGCCCCCCGCTAACAGGCAGTGGGTGCAGGGGCCCCCTGCTCACGGGGGGGGGGCGGTGGGTGCAGGGGGCCCGGCTGCGCGCGCTCCTCCAGCCCTGCCCTCCCCTTACAGGATGCTGCAGAACAACCAGCTGGGAGGAGTCCCCGCGGACGCGCTGTGGGAGCTGCCGAGCCTGCAGTCTCTGTGAGTCACGGGGGCCCGGGCCGGGCAGCTTCCTGGGGCCTGACTCACAGCCCGGCCCTGCCTCGGCTTCCCCTCCTTTCTGCGCCCCCCCCCACCCTGTGTTCCAGACGACGTGCCGCTCCGGGCTTGGGTTTTTTCGGGGGTTTTTGTTGTCATCAGTATGTGTGCGTGTGGATCCGGGAAGGAAGGCCCTGGGCCCCCCCAGGACTGTGGGAGTGGGACCTCCCGGGGTGGGGCCTCCGGGGCAGCAGCCCTGGGCATCTGGTGTCCTGCCGAGGAGCCTGGGGCGCAGGGTGGAGACGGCCACCCCACAGAGGTCGGGCAGGGGCGACCCCCCCCCTCCCCGCGTAGCCTGCTGTAGCCCCGAGGCCAGGTGGGGGGGCGGGGGGCTGGGCTCTGACACCGTTGCCTTGCCCCGGGGCTGGGACTGCATTCAGGGACCCTCTGTCCCCAGGACACAGCCAGCCTGGCCCGGGGCCCTGCACCTCCCGCCTGGCCCGGTGGGGGCATCGGCATCGCGGAGGCAAGGGGCCCAGTGCACCCGAGCGCTGCGTCTCACTCCCGCGGGCACCTCGCGGGGCCTGGGTCTAGCGGGTGCCCGACGCGGGCCTCCTGAACCGCCTGACTTCCAAGTACGCCTACGTTTGATGGGAGACTGAACAGATGTCCCGGGAGCCGTCAAAGTCGAGAGACAGGCTTGGGCATGACGTTTAGGCACGGGGAAACTGAGGCACAGCCAACACGCACTGCGTCTGGACGACGGCCTCTGGCCTCCCCGGCTGGGGTTCACCGTGGCCCCCGCCCAGTCCACGGATGTGTCCGATTCTTAACTGTCCTGGTTGACCCTCGGGGAGCGGGGGGTGGGGAGGGTGGCCTTCCGTGCTGTGACCCACACTGGGGCCGAGGTGCAGCCGGGCCCGGCCCGCGGTGTGCTCAGGGCTCTCTGCTACCCCTCGCTGGCCGTCTCCGCCCTCCTGGGCCGCCCCTGCCTCCGCTCACTCTCGCTTCCCACCTCCGCCCCAGCGAGCGTGGCCTCTGGCCCCAGACACCTGTTGTCCCGCATCCAGGCCACTGCGCATGAAGGTTCAGTCTTGTTTGTTCTAATTGCGAATCACATCTTTTGGCTGCTCGGGGGTCCCCGAGGCCTTGTCTCTCCGACGGCATGTGGCTTCGGGGGCACCGTCTGCACCTCCTGAGAGATGGGCAGGCCCAGCGGCCGGGGGAACGGGACAGGTGGCGTCTCCCGGCGGCCCTGTCAGTCCCTGTCGCATGGGGGGTCAGGGCGGGGTCGGAGGCCGGGTCCCCCACTCCGCAGCTCTAAGGCCGATGAGCAGGTTCGGCCTCTCGGAGCCCTGTGAGGAGGCTCTGATCCCGGCCACCCTGTCCCTGTCCTCGCTGTGCCCCCCTTCCTTCCCCTGCCCGTTGGGGATGATCCCCTTCCCCGCCTGCCTCACGGGGTCGTCGGAAGGTCACGCAGGCGCTGGACATGGAGGCATCTGTAAAAAGAAGGGCCCGCTCCGCTGCCCGGCGTAGTGGTGCTAACGGGATAGCGTTCGCGTAGCCGGGCACTGAGCCGTGCATTGTACACGCACTTTTGAGGCTTTGCTGGGGAGGGTTTGCAGCCTGAAGGGTCATCAGGGAGCGTCCACCGGGCGAAGCGTCGGGGAAGGGCGTTCCGGGCAGAGGGAGCGGCACTGCCACGCCGCGACGCTGGAGGACCGAGGGAATTGTAACGGCTTCGCCAGGAAGTGGGTCCGGCCGAGCTGGGTGCGCGTCGGGGCTGGCGGGAAAAGCAGGCGCGGAGATCCGGGGTCAGCAGAGGCCGCGCCGTCGGGAGGGCGGCCCTCGCAGGGATGAGGACGCTGGGGAGCGCAGGAGGATTTCTAGCAGGACGGCAGGGTGAGGGGTTTGCGTCACTGAGAGATGAGTTCGGCCGCAGTTACGGAGGACAGCCTGGAGGCGCGGAGCCCTGAAGGGGCCGGTGAACCAAGGGGGCTGAAGAAAGGCACGGCCGGTCGGTAAAAGAGGTTGACGGGCGCTGGAAATACCAGGATGGTCCGGGTCCGCGCCCTGGGGGGGGGGGGCTCCTTCGCTTACCACCTGCGGGGCCCTGAGCGCGTCGGATCACGGCTCCGCTCCCCTGTGTTTACTGGTAGGACGGAGGTGGCGCCTGCGTCCTCAGCAGGGCGGAGTGGGGGCAGTGGATGCGCAGTAGAACGTAGCTCTGGTCGCTCCTACTGCAGCTGCTGCAGCCGTGGGGTGGGCAGAGGTGGGTGTTGCAGGAGCAGCAGTCAGGCCGCCGGGCGCTTCCACTCGGTGTGGACACCGGGAGCCGGGCACGCGCTGAGAGCACGGTGGGAGGCAGGTGGGCCGCCCAGCGGGTGAGCGCTCGGCGGGGGGCACAGGGAAAGGTCGCTTGGACCTATTGAACTTGAGGGACCCGTGGGTAGGGTGACGGGGCGTCTCAGACACCCTGGAGAGGGGGCCACGACCTGCAAGACAGCCGTGCGCGCGTGCATGTGTGCGCGTGTTGGGGGGAAGGGGGGCGCGTGACCCAACTCGAGCGTTCTGTTTGGTAGGTGTTTATCCTAAGCTGGGGCCCCGTAAAGGAGACCCTGTCCTACTAATCCGGGTTCCTGCATCACGGAGACAATACAACCAGCCCGGCTGCTAGGCTGAAAGGAGAAGGTGGGAGCAAATGACAATTTGGGGAGCCCCTCCGTGTGCCCGCCGGATGCTCATGTGCTCCGTGAGCTGTTTCATGTGTGTGGCCTGAGTCAGGGAAGACCCCGGGGCCCGGGCTGGGGAGTGAGGAAGGCAGGGCCATACCCCCGCCTGCTGTCGTCGCTGCGCCCTTTCCATCCCGGCTGCAAGGGAGGTGGCTCTGGGCGGCCATCACGGGGTGGCCCCCCCCTTCCTGACAAATACCAACAAATAGAAATTTCCCCCTTCCTGTAGGACGTCGGTGGGTGGGTGGGGGCAGCGTATAGGAGACACATCCTGCCCTCGTCCCTCCTGGGGGCGGTGCGGCTCAGGTCCCTGGAGAAAGCTGTTCCCCGCCTCCTGGAGCGAGAGCCCCCCACAAAGTCTGGAGCATGTTCCTGGAAGCTCAGTGAAGCTCGGGGCCTCAGTTCACCTTCTACCAGCTAGGACCAGACGCGGGGGGATGGGAAGCGGCTTTGGACCAGTGGGGAGTGGGGCCAGGTTAGGGGACCGGCCCTAGGTGGCCAGCGGGGCCTGCTGTAGAGACTGTTTGGCTTGGCCCCCGGGGCGGGTGGCACCAGCTCCACGTTCCCCCTGCCTGGATACACTTGCTTCTTCCCCGAGCAACGTGGGAGGGAGACGATGGCAATGCCAGATGTGTCACGCCAGGCTTGAGCCAAGGCCAAGAGAAACCACGGGAAGCCAGTGGAGCCTGGGGGAAAATAGAAACTGGGTGGGGGTGAGGCACGGCCAGGGGAGAGGCACGGAAAAGCAGAAAAACAGCCCAGAAAGACTTCGGGACGGGACGGGGCGGGGGCGGGGTTGGGGGGGCGGGAAGCACAGGCCGGCTGGTCCCTGGAGAAGAATCAGAGAAGCACAGGGGAGAAAACGGGAGCACAGCCCTACCCTGGACACCCCACGGGGCAATGCGTGGTCGCCAGGGGGTAGCCTCCAGAAGCTGATGGGTGTGTGATGGGGAGCAGGGCCACACCCCAGCTGAAACCCGGGCTGGAGCCAGCAGGACCCTCTCCCTCCGTGCAAGCCAGTCGTGGGGGCGGGGGGGGGGCGGGGGGGGGTTTGCAGAAGTCAGGGATGGAGCGCGGCAGGGGGTGCCCGCCTGCATGGAAGGAGCTGGGCTCAGGGAGGTGCGGGAAGGGGGCTCCCGCTTACCCTGCTTCCATCTCATTTAATCCTGAAATCCCTACATAGTAGCTTCCATCGTTCCCGTTTCACAGAAGGACAACCGAGGGCCGGAGAAGTTAAGCAACCTGCCCGAGGTGCCCTGGCGGGGATGTAACTGAGCCGGTTTCTATTTTAACTCTGACTCCAAAGTTCCATGTTCCTTTTTTTGATTTTTCTTGAAAGAGCAAGTGCGCGCATGCAGGCAAGGGGAGGGGGCGGCGGGAGGGGCAGAGGGAGCTCCGGAGGGAGAATCCTGAGCAGGCTGCGGGGTCCGCGGGGTCCGCGCGGTGTCCATCGGGCTCGAGCTCACGGCCCAGAGATCTCGACGTGCGCTGGAGAGGCAGGTGCTCAGCAACTGAGCCACCCAGACGCCCCCAAGGACCAGGTTCCCAGCCTCTGTCTCCTCACACCCCCTCTAGGGCGCAGCGCTGTAGGGTCCACACCGGCTGCGTCGCTAGCAGAGGCCGCGGGCAGGCCCCCCCGTTTCTGGGCCCCGGGCTCCGTACCTGTGCCGTGGGGGGTCACGTGAGACGGCTGCCGATGGGTCCCAAGAGGAAGCACGTCGGGCTCCTGAGATACGAGGGGGCCCCGATGGGGTTAAGGCCCTGTGCCTCAGCCGCCTGTGATGGCTCTGTGCTTGCTCTCGGGGTCCCGGGGTCTCTCTGTGCGACGCAGAGCGACCCCCTTGAACCCTTCCAGCCTCCGGGGAGCCTGTGAGGGGGGATGAGGAGGGAAGGCTCGAGCTTCCCCCGGAGACAATGGCTAACCCTCTCTGGCCGGTGCCAGGGGTTCTATGAGGGCAAGGATCGGAAATGGCGAAAGCACAGGGCTTCTGAGCAGGTGCCCCTCATTCTGTACGTGTGACCCCCTCCCCAGGACAGCTATCCCCCCAGATGGAGGGCCACAGCCCGGCTGATGACACCCGGCCTGTAGGTGGCACCTCCCATGTGGGGGGGCTCATACTTCTTCCCTCTCTTACTCCTCCCCCGACCCGCCTGGGGTGCTCAGACTAGTAGTGTCCTTACCCCGTTTACACCGGGGCAGACCACTGAGGCGCTGGGAGGGGCCGGGGTGTTGATGTGACTCGATGGGAGGCACTACAGTGAGTACGGAGC